CGCCATATACTCTGCCTCCGTAGTAGAGAGAGCCACTGTAGATTGAAGTGTGCATCTCCAACATACCGGTGCTCCTGCTAGTGTAAACACATATCCGCTAGTAGACCGGCGTTTGTCCTGATCCCCAGCATAATCAGAATCCACATAACCAATACAATCCTGCCTGTTCTTCTCATTCTTCTGAAATACCAAACCAACATCCACGGTACCTTTGATATACCGTAGAATCCACTTCACGGCCTCCCAATGACCCTTCCCGGGTTGTGCATGTATCCTAGATACCATGCTCACGGCCTGTGACAAATCTGGCCTTGTACACACCATCGCATACATCAAGCTACCCACAGCATTGGCATATGAAACTTTGGACATGTATTCACGGTCCTCAACTGAAACAGGTGACATCTTAGCTGATAGCTTAAAGTGGGGAGCTAATCGAGTACTCACCGCCTTGGCATTGCCATCATAACTGAATTTCTTCAGTATCTTCTGCAAGTAACTCCTCTGTGTCAACTTAAACCTCCCCTTCACCCTGTCTCTCTCAATCTCCATACCCAATATCTTCTTTGCTTCTCCAAGATCCTTCATCTCAAATTCGGATGACAGTTCCTTTTTCAACTTTCTAATAGCTGAAGTATTCCTGGAAGCTATGAGCATATCGTCAACATATAACAGCAAATAGATACACTCACCATTCTGTAGCTTGTGCATGTAAACACACGGGTCATATGGGCTCCTCGTGTACCCTCGGCCAATCATAAAGCCGTCGAATCTCTTGTACCATTGTCGCGGTGATTGCTTCAATCCGTAAAGAGACTTCTTCAGCTTGCATACCAATTCTTCCTTTCCTGCAGCTTTGAACCCCATAGGTTGTGTCATGTAGATCTCCTCTTCTAAATCTCCATGTAGAAAGGCTGTTTTCACATCCATCTGGACCAAATCCAAATCCAGCTGTGCCACCAATGCCAATAAAATACGAATCGACGAATGCTTTACAACAGGTGAAAATACCTCGTTGTAATCAACGCCCTCTAGCTGTGCATATCCCTTGGCAACCAATCTGGCTTTGAATCTAATTTCCCCAATAGAAGATCCCTCTTTCTTTGCATACACCCACTTGCATCCAATAGCCTTCTTACCTTTCGGTAGCTTTGCAAGTTCCCAAGTGTCGTTCTTATGAAGAGACTGCATCTCCTCCTCCATGGCTTCCCTCCACCTAATCGAATCAGAGCTTGACTCTGCTTCCTTGAATGTAAAAGGAACCAAATTATCAACGACTTCTGCTGATAAAGCATATGCAACCATGACATCGTTATATCTAGCTGGCCGACGAATCTCTCTTCTCGGTCTATCTGCTGCAATGGTCCTCTGAACATGACCCTGTTCCTGAGTCCCATGATCTACTGTATCCTGTATCTGCCCATCTGTCTTCTCATCTCCTCCCAGTGTCACCTCTGTAGGAGCCTCAATGGATACAGTGTTCTCTGGAGTGGGTGGAGTCACATCATCCTCCACCTGCTGTGATATCTCTCCTGTCTGGTCTTCCTCCACCTGCTGAGGAACTTGAAGCTTCATCATGTACGCCTCGTCAAATATGACATCGTCAAATATGACATCCCTGCTAATAACTATCTTCTTGTCTTGTGGATCCCATAACTTGAAGCCTTTAACTCCATCTTTAAATCCCACAAAGACTGCTTTCCTCGCCCTCGGATTCAATTTACCATCACTGACATGGTAATAAGCTGGACACCCAAATATCCGAAGCGACTCATAGTCACTAGCTACCGAACCAGACCAACGCTCCAATGGAGTCTTCCCCTGTATCGCAGTGCACGGCAACCTATTCACGAGATGGCTCGCATAAACCAACGCTTCGGCCCAAAAGGATCTTGACAATCCACTCTGTGTCATCATACATCGCACCTTCTCCAGCAAGGTACGGTTCAATCTCTCAGCCACCCCGTTCTGTTGCGGTGTCTCACGTACTGTGAAGTGTCGTCTAATGCCGTGATCCCGGCAAAACTGCAGAAACGGATCACTCTTATACTCTCCTCCATTGTCTGAACGAAGAGTTTTTACCTTTCTACCTGTCTGCAGCTCCACTTTCTTCTTCCACTCCACAAAAATATCCAGGACCTGATGTTTATGCTTCATCGGGTATACCCAATTTCTCCTGGAATAGTCATCAATGAAAGTGACAAAATAGTTGGCCCCACCAAGTGATGTGTGCTTGGAAGGACCCCAAACATCTGTGTGAATATAGTCCAATATACCTTGGGTATTGTGAATATCGGTGCCGAATTTCACTCTTGTCTTCTTCCCAAGTATGCAATGTTCGTACAGCTCCATCTTGCAGGTCTTCGCACCCTTCAATAGCCCCTGCTTCGCCAATACCTGCAGGAACTTATCACCAGTGTGTCCCAATCTCATGTGCCATAATCTGGTAGTATCTTCCTCTGCGGTAATCGAAGCTGCCAAACCCCCTTTTACTGTCTTGCCCTTCAAGTAGTAAAGTTTGTTTTCCCTGACACCTCGCATCACCACCATGGACCCCTTTGTGACCTTCAGAGTTGCATTCTCCAAGATCACCTTATAGCCAACTGCCTCCAAAGTTCCAAGCGAAATGATATTCTTCGTCAATTGAGGAACGAATCTCACTTCTTTCAGCTCCCGAGTCACCCCGTCACACATCCGGATCCGTACTGTACCAATACCACCAATAGGGCATACGTGATCATTACCCATGAGCACGACATCCCCTCTTTCCAACTCCTCAAAGCTGGAGAACCAATCCCTCCTAGGGCAAATATGGTATGTAGCACCAGAATCCATCATCCACTCCGTAGAGTCAGCGTAACAAACTGACGGTAATGCAGAGCAAGAATAGCCTGAAGAATCCGTATCTGAATTGTCGTCACTAGCCTTGACAACATTCACTTCCGAAGCTTGTACAGCTTTCCCTTTATTCTTCCCAGCTTTGTCTTTCAACTTTGGGCAGTCGTTCTTCCAATGTCCTTCTTCTTTGCAAAAGCGACATTGATTCCTACCAATATTTCTATGGCCACCTCTTGACTTCGATCTTGAGCGATCACCTGGACGACGGTTTGGACCACGGCCTCGAACTGCTAATGCATCTCCCGATGCCTTCTCGGAGGGTTCGCCATCACTCTTCCTCAACTCATAATTCACCAAAGCTGAGGTCACCTCCTTGTAGCTAACCGTAGTTCTTCCATTTATCATAGTGAGAACAAACGTTCCAAAATCATCCTCCGGCAACGAACACAATAGTAGCATCGCCTTGTCTTCATCCTCAACCATGATATCTACATTGGCCATATCCGAAATTAGCTTCGTGAAGTTATTAACATGCTCCCGAATGGAAACTCCCCTTTTCATCTTGAATTGGTAAAACCTCTTCTTCAAGTGAAGCCGATTTTCAATGCCCTTCGTCAGATACTTCTCATTGAGTGTTTCCCACATTCTCTTCGCCGACGTCTCGTTCATTACGTCATAAATAAGATCCGGTGTCAAGCATGACCGAATAACTCCACAAGCTCTACTATTCATTTTCTTCCAAACCTTATCCTCCATATCAGCGGGTTTCTCTTGTAACTCAAGAGTCTCCTCCAAATTTTGTGCATCCAATGCGTCCATCACCTGACACCTCCACAAACCGAAATTGATCTTGCCGTCGAACTTCGGAACATCAATTTTTGTATTATTGATGCTCAGACTTTGTATCGCCTTTGAAAGAGACGATCCCGATGTGCTTGTTTCTCCCATGTTGTCGATCTAATCTTCAAATAGGAATCCTTCAGCGAATCCTTCGAACAAGCTCCCAAGTCCAACCCGGAGCTCTGATACCACTTGTTGTGCGCAGCGGAAATCTCGGCAGCACCTCCGGTGCGCAACGTGCACAACAAGAGATTAGATCACAATGGAATTCTTGTTTCTCAAAGGGAACAAGAACCAAAAAGCCAGATATCTCATCAAAGTGAGATATCAGCTCTTCCTCTCGTCAGCTCTAGGACTGCGCGTCTCACGGCAAGAACACAAATTTTACGTGGTTCGGCAAATAGCCTACGTCCACGGGGCAGGGAGGGGGAGATCTACTATTAGAGGGAGAGATACAATTGGGGTTTACAATCTCACAAACTCTAAACCCTCTCAAACAAACTCTCAAATCCCTCTTACAAATTCTCTCTCAAAAGAAACAAAAAAAGGGACTGCCTTTGCTTTTCACGCCCGCAGCAAAAATTCACAGCCGCCAATATCTCCTCACACGCCTCCAACTCTCTGCCACCGCCTTCAAGACCCAGCCTCTTTGCTGTCTTCGTAGCCGCCCAAAAGCACCCGCACCTTTTTGGCTCACCAAACTAGGTTAAAGCCAAGCTATATATATATAGCTGCAGCCCTAGAAAAAATCCAGTCCGAATAAACAATTCACCCGACCCGATATTTCACGCGACTCAACTCTCACAAATGTTTCTCGTGCTCACATGGACGTGGGTCCCTCCACGTTCACATGCACGTGGGTGGCCCCCACTATCCGCACACAGTACACTGTAGAGCAACATCTGATTCATCTAAAATAGGTCTTTGAACTGCTACGCGGACAGAAGTTGTATGCAAATGCAAAGAAGTGTCACTTTCTGGCTGACCAGGTAACCTTCTTAGGGTACATGATCTCTGGAGATGGTGGTGCTCATGGCAAAGCTATGAGCCCTACTCGTTTGCCCATTTCCGAGTGACAGCGCGAATTTCGCCTTATACTGACATAGTGACTTTTGATTTCTACTAGACCCACTTATTTTGTCCTCTAGTGCGCCCTCCATCGTCCTATTCTGCATCACCCTTGATCCATATCTAATGTGGGACTAGAAGTTAAAATACAATTTTGAAATACATCAATAACGGCAAGCTATTTGTTATAATGTTATGCAAGATAAATACCACTCTCACTGAAATAGAAAATTAAAGTTGGAAGAGCTCCTTACCTGATCCAGGAATTGATTTTGCTATATGATCTGCAGCTCGAAAAATGTGAACATTTACTAGAGTGCCTCCTTGGACAAACTCCAATACACAAGCATCTCTCTCCTTCAAGCAGTTTTCCTTGTATAAATCTGACCAACCAGATGATAAACATAGGCGCCCATCGCACCAGGTGGATAATTTTACAGACCATGAAGTACCCCGAGGATCTCGAAGGTCTATTGAGTTCTTCATATTGAGATTATATTTCTTAGCCAGTCCTGCTGGAATTCTCTGAAAGCCAAAAACAACAAAGAAAATAATTTTATATTTTTCATTTGTTACTAAGAAGAGGGTGGTTCATCATACTTATACACCTTGTAGAATTATTATGAAAGGAGAACTCTGATATGAAAATAAATTAATAAAGGCTAATTCTAAAGCAGAAGGCACTAAGTTTAACTAACTTATACGTCAAATCCGGACTCCTCTTTAAAGATGACAAAATCATAGAAGATCTTCTAATACTCCCCATCAAGCTGAGCATTGACCGAAATGCTTAGTAAAGCCCAGCTTGTAAAAGACTTGAATATCATGGTATCCCCGTTATTTCAACAACTGTTGACAAAGTTTTAATGTCAAGGACAACTCTGAGAAAAAAAAAGCATCACAAGCGACAACAAGAAAAAGAAGCTTCACAAGCAACCCCAAGAAAAAAAAATTCGTAGATCCAAGAAAAAAAAGTTTTGCAAGGCATATGAAAAAAAAAACAAGAAATTGCAAGCAGTAATGAGAACACAGGCTTCACAAGCAACATCAAGAAAAAAAAAACAAGCTTTGTATACGAATAAAAGATTGTGCTATGAAGCAATACAAAGTTGAGTTGTTCCCATAAGATATAGAGAACAAAGAAAACCAAGGATGATTAGCTGAGGCACTTATAATTTCAACGAGAGCACGATGCATGCGAGAGATCAAAACAGTGGTGGTGCATTCATATTCGAAGAGAAAACGAGATTGTTTGTGATATTGCTCCAAGGGGAAGCACGATGGTGGCGCTTGTGGCAAATCTCCCCTCGGGAGCTATGGGTGTTGTGCGCGGCGGAAGCTTTCTGAGCAACACGAACAATAACTCGAACTAATCACAACTAATATGCAAACACAACCAAAAACAAGAACAAGTAATTTTACGTGGTTCGGCAAGTTGCCTACGTCCACGGGGCAAGGAGGGGGGGGGGAAGTTCTTACTATTAGAAATCAGAGAATATAAGTAGAGTTACAAATTTCTCAGATCAAACCCTAAAACAAAGCTCTTGATCTCTCTCAACTCTCCCACAATTGGATGCAACTATTCGATTCCCAGTAGGCTTTGTGCACGTTGGCGGATGACCGCGTCGGTCGACCGCTGATCTGTCTGGCTTCTACCTGCTGATTCCTTTGCTGATTTCCTATAATTCTTCAATTCTCCACCTCGGCAAATGTTTCCACCAAAAAACTGAGCCGACACCAAATCATCCAATAGTCCCTTAACAAGTCAGGGAACCAATCTAGAGCTGAAACGCGATCTCTCCCCCCATCTGAATCAACTGATCATACCGGCTGCATCTGAAAGATTGCCTACGTATCCTCTTGCCCAAGGAATCAAGCCGAACGTAGTTCACCCAAATGACCTCCAAAGGCCTCAGCACTGAAGGATGTTCAAAAGCTTCATACAATGACCAAATTTTACTCCTGAAACAACTTTGGTCAAAATATCTGTAGGGTTGTCATTCGTGTGGACCTTCTCTAATATGACGTTTCCATCATCCAATACGTCACGTATAAAGTGGAATCTGACGTCGATGTGCTTCGTGCGCGCATGATAAACCTGGTTCTTCGCCAAATAGATAGCCGACATGCTATCACAATATATCCGAATAGTCTCCTGAGCGATCCCTAAGTTCTCCAATAATCCATGCAACCATAAAGCCTCCTTAATAGCTTCAGTAACTGCCATATACTCTGCCTCTGTAGTAGAGAGAGCCACTGTGAACTGAAGCGTGCAACGCCAACATATAGGTGCACCTGCTAATGTAAAAGCATAACCTGAAGTAGACCGGCGTTTGTCAAGATCTCCAGCATAATCAAAATCCACATATCTAATACAATCCTGTCCATCCTTCTCATCCTTATGGAATACTAAACCAACATCCACGGTGCCTCGAACATACCGTAGAATCCACTTCACGGCCTCCCAATGACCCTTCCCGGGGTCGTGCATGTATCTCGATATCATGCTCACGGCCTGTGACAAATCTGGCCTCGTACACACCATCGCGTACATCAAGCTACCTACTGTACTGGCATATGGGACCTTCGACATATAATCTCTGTCCTTAACTGAAACAGGTAACATCAACGCTGAAAGCTTGAAGTGGGGAGCCAATGGTATGCTAACTGTTTTTGCATTGCCATCAAAGCTGAATTTCTTCAACATCTTCTGCAAGTAGCTCTTCTGTGTAAGTTTCAAACTCCCTTTCACCCTGTCTCTCTCGATCTCCATACCTAATATTTTCTTTGCCTCTCCAAGATCCTTCATCTCAAACTCGGATGACAGCTCATCTTTCAACTTTCGAATAGCCGAAGAATTCCTGGAAGCAATAAGCATATCGTTAACATATAAAAGCAAATATATGTGTTCACCATCATGTAGCTTGTTGTAGGCATATAAAATTGCTTATAGGTCCCTTTTGCTCAGCTCGGCACGAACCGACAAACCAACGAGGCGACGAGATTGACTAATTGCACGCAAACAACGGAATACGTCCATTCGCGTGCGGGATCAAGCCAAGTGTTCGAAGAGTCAACGAGTCATCCAACCAAAGGCATACTTTTACTGCCAAATCAGGAATCGGATTTACTGCCTAATCAGGATCCAGATTTACTGCCAAATCAGGAATCGGATTTACTGCCTAATCAGGATCCAGATTTACTGCCAAATCAGGAATCGGATTTACTGCCTAATCAGGATCCAGATTTACTGCTAAAACAGGAATCAGATTTACTGCCTAATCAGGATCCAGATTTACTGCCAAATCAGGAATCAGATTTACTGCCTAATCAGGATCCAGATTTACTGCCAAATCAGGAATCAGATTTACTGCCTAATCAGGATCCAGATTTACTGCCAAATCAGGAATCAGATTTACTGCCAAATCGGGATCTAAATCAACCGAATCACGAGACCGGAAAAAACAGCAAAAACCACAACACCCAGAGGTGGCCGACAGTTGTCATTTTGCGGCCACCCAGAGGTGGCCGACAGTTGTCATTTCGCGGCCACCCAGAGGTGGCCGACAGTTGTCATTTCGCGGCCACCCAGAGGTGGCCGACAGTTGTCATTTCGCGGCCACCCAGAGGTGGCCGACAGTTGTCATTTCGCGGCCACCCAGAGGTGGCCGACAGTTGTCATTTCGCGGCCACCCAGAGGTGGCCGACAGTTGTCATTTCGCGGCCACCCAGAGGTGGCCGACAGTTGTCATTTCGCGGCCACCCAGAGGTGGCCGACAGTTGTCATTTCGCGGCCACCCAGAGGTGGCCGACAGTTGTCATTTCGCGGCCACCCAGAGGTGGCCGACAGTTGTCATTTCGCGGCCACCCAGAGGTGGCCGACAGTTGTCATTTCGCGGCCACCCAGAGGTGGCCGACAGTTGTCATTTCGCGGCCACCCAGAGGTGGCCGACAGTTGTCATTTCGCGGCCACCCAGAGGTGGCCGACAGTTGTCATTTCGCGGCCACCCAGAGGTGGCCGACAGTTGTCATTTCGCGGCCACCCAGAGGTGGCCGACAGTTGTCATTTCGCGGCCACCCAGAGGTGGCCGACAGTTGTCATTTCGCGGCCACCCAGAGGTGGCCGACAGTTGTCATTTCGCGGCCACCCAGAGGTGGCCGACAGTTGTCATTTCGCGGGCACAGTAAAGGGAGCCTATAAATAGGCCCCCTTGGTTCATTTGTT